AATTGACTATAATTTGAATCATCGCTGACTACAATTCCGTCAACATTAAAATCTCTGTATCTCCCAAAGCTATCCCAATTACCATTTAGCTGTAGCATAATAGCTATTTTTGACATTATGTCGCGAAATTCAACACAATTGTAGATAATTGTTTGCAATTTTTTTTTCCAAAACCTTCGCTTATGGTTGTGAATCCAGAGGAGACAGAGAAAACCAGAGGATCGGCGATGATAAACGGGGAAAATCAGCGTAATAGCAGGCTTAATTCAATTGCGATGATTGCATCGCAAAATTCTCGGAAGAATCCTACGCGATCCCAAAATCCCACGTCTATAAAAGGAAGGCTACTGCAGAAAGGATTCTAGTTTAAATAAATGTATATAATTTGTAGACAAAACGTGTTTAGGCCGGGTAATTAAATAAACATGAACATTTTTGATAATAGAGTTTCATATAGTGTATAGAAATGAAAAATCCCAACAAATAATTATCCATAATAAATTGAATTTATAACATGAAACTTGAGCAAGCCTGCTATGATAGATAAAATTACATTGATAGCAAAAAAAAATATATGTTACACTGCCACTGCTGGTGTATATAATTAGTTAAATCTCTTATAATTAAGCACACATGCATAATTCATCCAATAAACGACAGGTAAATGGTAATTAAAGATGTAGATGGATGGACCTTTGCGACTTTAGGCCGTACTGTTTACTGACAGGTAAATTCATCCAAGAAGGCCGTACTAATACGAGTTTAAGTGCAAAAAAATAGAAGAATTAACTTAAACAGCTCTCACATAACTACTTAAATAAAAAATTGTTGACGGATATATAATATATATTATTCTGTATGATCTATTTGTATAAAGAGCCGAGTAGACCATTCAATGGCTAATTAAGTCCATATTGTAAATATCTAAACTTTACATAGAGTGGTAATTTGGTAAAGAAGATATTTGACACGTTTGAATGAGTCAAAAACTCTGAATGCGTAAAAGAATTTAATACTGTGAATGGATATTCAATCTTGTGTAGAGAATATTAATGAAGGTTCAAGGTACTGATAGCTAATTTGAGACACGCCTAACAAACCCACCAATTATACAGTACAATTTGGTTGCCATTAATGGTAAAGTTTGCAACTGGAAATTAAAACTTACCATTCGAGTTGATTGCTTGAACAGTCCTTTGGTGGATGACAATGACATTCATATAATGATACAAATTCAATTAACTTTAGAATTGATCATGCTCTCGGCAAGAAAGAGAGTTCCATGCAACATATATATTGCTCTCTTTACTAACCAACTCACTCGCGATGTCTATCAACATATGTGCAGTTGTTTGTAGTTACTTTAAGATGATATGATAGTACTTAAAAAAAAATTGGTAATTAAAAGTATTTTATTTACCAAGTATAGATATTTACAATTCTTACAATTTGCAACTAAAGGTTTAGTTTAGACATGACATAGTTCGTTCTAGCCGGGAAATATGGTGGCCCTGACATGTATTTCGTGAATGATCAATCGTAGTAAAGCATTGGTTGATCTTCTTCTTCTTCTTTTTTTGGAATATCACATTATTTTTTTCTTGCCAAATGTGATAAACTGCAGCTTCTAAAGTCATTCTGCATACTGTTGCACTTCCACTCTTCCCTTTGCCAAACTGTTTTATCCATGTCAACTCCTCCTGTCAAGCTTTCTTTGTTCTCTGTATACCTTACCACTTTAGTAGATGCTGCCTTATAGTTCCTGATATTTCACAATCAAAGAATAAATATTGTACTTAAAATTTCTTTTATATTATTAATGTATATAAGTTAAGCTCTTTCTAAATAACTAATTTATGGTGACTTAAAACAAGTTTCACGTGATTGTCATATAAGCGACCTGATTACAGAAGTGTACTAACAAATGAGGCTATAGGTGCAAAAGGCTGTTACTATAAGGCCCATTTTTAAATCATGGAATTTTTATTGGACAGTGGATCCGATCATAGATAAGCTGTTAAGGAAAAGTTGACAGCCCATCTGGCACATTGATAATATTAANATATATATATTTTGTATATTTAACTAACAAATGTAATTATATTCGGCCGCGGGTCAAATATATAACTTGCCCTTGATAGTAAGCCCTCATTCTTCTAGTTCAGCATAGCGTTTGGCTCACACATTCTGCGAGAAACTATGGAAGCCCTCCCATTCTTCCCCTTCTTATTTCAAAGTCTTTTGTTTTATTTTTTATTATTTTAAGATTACCACCTATTACCAACAATGCCAACTCTTGTTTTCTCACCTTTGATAATCTTTTTCCTTGATGAAAGTAGGACTTTCATTCCTGTTTTTCCAACAAAATGATACCATTTTATTCCTGAAGCTTGAAATAGGGCTCAATGATTAAGTTAAACGCACTATATATGAAAATTAAAATTTGACTATGTAATAATTTAAAAAGGACAAAATCTTAGCTAGCTCAAAAAAATGAAGACCATGATAGTAATTTATTGTATGTTTAGTCAAGCTACAAAAATCAGTTTATTTTGAGAATGACTTTTTCTTAAACGTGTTTTTTAAAAGTACTTTTAGTGAGAAGCAGTTTGTGTTTGACTAATTAATTTAAAAAATACTTTTAATCAGCAATTAGTGTTTGACCAAACTTTTAGAAAGTACTTCTATATGTGTTTTTCTCAAACGTATTTTTTTAAAAAAAAATCTGTTTCTCCAAAATTGCTTATACTTCTACTCAAAAGTATTTTTTTTCTTTTTAAAAATTTAATCAAATACTTTAATTTTTAAAAAAAAATTGAAAAAAAAAGTGCTTTTGATTTTAAAGAGGCTTGATCAAACAAGCTATTAGTCCGAGGGACTTGAACGCCGGTTGATTCTCTTTGGGGAAAACAAATTGGGCGGCGGGTGGGGGTAATTAAATTATGTTATCTACTTTGTTTGTTTAAATTGATGCCTTGTCATTCCTATCCACTTCTTTTCTGCCAGCTGGATCCCTCACGTGTCAACTTCCAAAACCCAATTCCTGAAACGGGCCGGGCCGACCCACCCATCTGGCCCTTTTCCTTTTCCAACGATATTAATTAAGTTTCTGAATAAGGATATCATTATTATATTCTTTAATATTGTCATTGTGAATCAGCGTCTACTTGGTAAAGCCATATTCCTTTAATTTGGATATATAGTTACGTGAAGGGAATGCAAGTGTCGATATACACTACATACGTCCTCTTGGTCAATCTCCTCATCTCTATTCATCATTAGTACTTTAGTTTGATTTCTTCTAGTTTGTGATATATTGTCGCCTTTATTTCCAATGAAGTGGTCTACTAAAAAATAAATTAATAATAATTTTTATTTATTTAACAAATCCACTATACATGTTTTTAAAGTATAAATGAATATTCATCATTCATCACTTAATAGTATAGTTGGCGAATGATTTTGTTTTTTTTTTCGTGTTTAAAATCGAAATAGAAAATAAAAGAAAAAAATTGACAAAAGAAGCCGCTTAAACATAATCTACGAGTATTTTTTTTGATTTTTTTCATAATTTCATCAGCAGCGTCTGCAACAATACTTTTGATGCCGCAGTGAAAAGAGTCTAGTGTTCGGACCCAGAGTGCGTGTTATTATGGGATAAAAAATCTGATAAGTTAATAAACTTTAAATTGGTGTTAGGATTTAGGACAAGTTAAACCTCAAAGTCTCCTAACCGTTAGATCTTCTGATGAAGAGCACTCTTTAGTTAGTACTTGCACTTTAACATTTAATAACAATTAACACCAACCAAAGAAAGAAGAAGAAACGAAAGAAAGAAAGAAAGAAACAGCACCGACTGTCTATCCGAGTTGGACTCTCCTTTGTTCCACCTCACACTCACACCCCCTCTTTCAGACACCCAGGTCAGTCCTTCCCTCTTCCCTCTTCTTATTTCTATGTATTTTTTGTATTTCAGTTTTCCTAACAACATATAAACACAGACAACAACTGAATTATTCTGGTTATTTTATGACTAGTAGTTTACACTGTATATGTTGTTGTTTTCCAAAATTCTCAGAATTGGGGTCTTCCTAATTTTAGCCGTTTCCTTTGAATTTCAAGATTGGTTTGTTTGTATATTGTAAAATAAATTTTACAGGGCCCAAAAGTTTCTTTTCAGATATTGTTGGAAATTTAATAACTCAATTAACAAAGAAAGAACCAATTCTCCTACAAAATTACTGCAGTCTGCATATGGTTGAAACCTTTTCTTTGCCTGAAACTCAGATTATATGTCATTGAACTATTCCGTGAACTTTTCTGATTTTCTCCTTTGTTCTTTTAATGTAAGCCGCCTAGAAACTTAACGGTAATTTTATATTCAGGGACTTCATTAGCCATATAGTTATTGCACACGAGAGAGAGTAAGTAAACATTTATTCATTATAGTGCTTTTAAGGAAGGACACATAGTCACCTGTGGGATTTATCTTATGTACACAAACAGTTTAAAAGAATTTTTACATTATCAATGTATTTTAAGATGTTGTAGCATAACCTATCTTATTTTTAGGTCATTTATTGAGGGTTACCCCTTGTTATCTTTTAGGTGACCTAATAGTATTAAATTTATTTTACAGTAGCACTGTATAGAAGTTAAACTCGTTTGTTTGTGCTCTCGGTTTTTCAAGGATAGCTATTTGTTGCTGCTAGATAGATGAAATATGAATAGCAACAGAAACTCAATTGATTAAGACCCCTCTCTTTAGTATTGGGAAATTATGAATCTCAAACTGTTTTGCCCTAACAATTCTTTCCATATCTTGTCTATGGAGTAGTCAAGAAAAGACTAAACTAGATTGGTTTCATAGGTGGAGATTAATTGTCTTTAGTTTGCAAGACAAGTTTTTTTTTTTTTTTTTTTTTTTGATGACCGAGAAATCCGTTTGGGGCCGATCCTTTGGACCAACCGCAGCCTTCGAAACTCGGTGAATAATGGGCCCGCCCCTCTACCCTTCTCCACTTAAATACCAGGCTTTGCTTTGCATGGTGTGGGGGCTTGAACCTGTGACCTAAGACACAAATCCACCATCCTTTGCCACTTGAGCTAGGCCCTGGGGGCATTTGCAAGACAAGTTAAGAAGGATCTTTTGACATTAAACACATCATATGATGGATCATGTACAAGCCATGATTTTCCTTTCCATGATTCGGGCTTCCCATTGAGCAGTAATGTGAGTCATAGTTTTGTTATCAGGCATTAGGATCAGTTCAATGTACCAAACTGGAAAATTTTGGTGATACATGGAGCTGCGATTACTTTTATGATTTTATCACTGCATTTAACAATCTATACATTAGGCTGGCAATTCACAACCCATCTATCTTTTTTTCTTTTGTCTATTTAATATTATTATTAACATAATCATTATTCTTATTGGAAAACTTATTTCAACTTTGAATTACGTAATATTAGCAGAAAATTCTCTCATTTTTCCTTTATGATATTTAACACATGTATGGAAACTGATATTGTCCTGCCATTTTACTTTGTCATGTTCAGTAATGAACGTTGCTTCTTTACTCTTGTATTTTTCAAACCTGTTTTGAAAATGTTTTTCTTGAGCCGAGGGTTTGTCGGAAACAACCTCTCTACCTCAACAAGGTAGGGGTAAGGTTTGTGACACTCTACCCTTCCCAAACCCCACTTGTGGGATCACCATGGCTATGTTGTTGTATGTTCAGTAATGAACGTTCTTAAATTAGACTAGAATCTATAATGTTCTATGGACAGGGGACATAAAGTGGGTAGCTTTTTTGGAAAAGTTGATACTTTTTTTTTTGAGGAAGAAGTTAAGTATTCTATTTTTTAAGTCAACGGTGTGTTGCTAATACTTTAAAAGGAAAGGTGGACAAGTCATCTTAAATTATCCCTGAGTAGAAAATGTGTTGCTATTGCTTTGCTTTAAATATCACAATTTTTTCTTGCAAGAATAAGGGCATCTTAAAAAATTCTTAGAGTTGAGAACAAGAAAATCATTGATGAAACTCGGTTTGTAAGAAATAAAATACTATGGTTAGACTGGCTCTTTATTATACAACCAAATGGGAGAAAGTTCAAATTCCAATCTGAGATTTGTTTCTGACTGGAGGAGTTGTATGCTTGCAGCTTTGCACAAATGTCCTTGCCGCTTTTGTTTCTTGATGTAGAGGATACTTGGAAATGCTGCATATAAATTTAAGAAAAACCCTTCAATTGATAAAAGAAAGTATTCACATCAAGAAATAATATAGAAAAGGTATTTTCCAGTCGATGTTATGTGCAGGATCAGCTTTTTGTTATTCATGCAGGCATTCTTTGACAAAGGAACAGCAAGGAACAAAAGGAGTCAGTATAATAAGTCGCTAATTCTTCCAAAGCACCAAATACATAAGAAAGATCTCTTGGTTCAGGAAATGCTTTAGCTTTTCGATCTTGATAATCTAAACAAATCTCTTGGTGTAATTTATCTTCAAATTCTGTTGGCTTGACAATCTTATATTTTTTTCTTGTGGGGAGAATCCTACCTTGTAAGACAGTTAGGTATTCCTTTAGTAATCTTGATGTTAGGTACTTTTCTGAATATGGTATGTGTTCTATTCTCAGTGAGATTCCTCATAGGTTGCAATGTAAATAATAGATTGCTTTCAAAGCCAAAATAATTGTTGCAAGATTACAATTGTCTCCTCGATACATATACATCATGTTTCGTCCTTTTGCGGTCTCCTTCATGATACTATTTTACAGTTTTGTAGTTCATCTTCTTTGGTATAAGCAACAGAGATGAAAACTTGGCAGCATCTTTTGTAGGTGGCAAGAAAATGACCTCGCCACAACTTTTTATATTGAAATATAATTTTTGAAACATAAAATTCCATTCATGCCATAAGGATGGTTGTTCGGTCTTGAAACCTTTCTAGTTATTCCATATGACAATAACTGGAGTAATATGTAGAGATAAAAATGAAAGATTCCTAACTTATTTTCCCATTATTTTCTCCTACTTTCAGGTACATCTAGCTTTTAATTGAGTACATATCTTCTGGATCATCAAATAAACGTGGGTAATTGACTATTGAATCGACACCTAATGGGGGCTGGGGAAGAAAGCACCCCTGCAAAGCCTTCAAAAGCTACTTCAGCTCAGGTCATTTTCCTTTTCTCTTTTTCCATAGATTTACACGCAATACGTGCTTATATAAATTTTAGTGTCACTCTCCTTAACTCTCTGTTTTGTGGCTCGCTATTCACAAGTTTTCCATTTGTTTGATTTTCAGGAGACACAAGCTACACCTTCATATCCTGATTGGTCAAGTTCTATGCAGGTTGATAATGAATTTCTTTCGTGATTAATCATTGTCAAGTGCACCACATCAACATTAAGATGATGAATTTTTAATTCTTAAGCTTTATTTTTTCCGGTTTAGGCTTATTATGGTGCTGGAGCTGCACCTCCCTTCTTTTCCCCAACTGTTGCTAGTCCTACTCCCCATCCATACATGTGGGGAGGCCAGGTGATTGACTTTTCATTCACTAATTTATATACTCCCTCCGTTTCAATTTATGTGAACTTATTTCCTTTTTAGTCCGTGCCAAAAAGAATGACCTCTTTCCCTATTTGAAAACAATTTACCTTTATGCAATTATTTATAGCCACACAAAATATATGTGCCTCATTTTACACCACTAGTTCAAAAGTCTTCTCTCTTTTCTTAAACTCTGTGCCCAGTCAAATGGGTTCACATAAATTGAAACGGAGGGAGTGGTTCTTTTTTTACGGCACGTTGTAACTTTTTTACTATATAAAGTATAAAACTCAGAACTTTTTTAATGTACTTACACTTTATTGCATGATATTTCAGCATCCACTTATGCCTCCTTATGGTGCTCCAGTCCCATATCCAGCTTTATATCCTCCTGCTGGAGTTTATGCTCATCCTAATATTCCCATGGTAACCAGTCCTTCTGTTATTCGGTTACTATCAATTTGAAAGCTGATGACAGAGAGTCACTCGTGTATAACTTTTCTGTGAATAATCTTATTAATATCGTTCATGTCCTTTTGGTAGACTCCAAACCCACTGCAGGCAAATCCAGAATCAGATAGTAAGGCAACTGATCCTAAGGACCAGAGTACAAGCAAAAAATTAAAGGGATATACAGGTGGCAAGGCAGGAGAAAGTGGGAAAGCGACTTCAGGTTCTGGAAATGACGGTGCCACAAGGAGGTCTTTTCATGTGGATTTAGTGTTAAATTTTGTCTATTGACTCTCATTTTAATCTCACTTCCCTTTAAATTGTTCTTCTTTTGGATGTGTCCTTGTACATCTGACTTAATATATTCTCTTGAATAGTGCTGAAAGCGGAAGTGAAGGTTCATCAGATGCAAATGATGAAAATGATAACCATGTATGCTCTCCGATTTACTTAAGAATTTCATAGTTTACTTAAAATATATCGGTGTCATGTATGTTCCCTATCAATTGCTAGTTAAGACTGTTTTTTCTTGTTTTATTATCTCAGGAATTTTCTGCAAACAAGAGTAGAAACTTTGATCTAATGCTTGCAAATGGTAACTTGTCTGACTTGTCTGCTTCTTAATTATGCCTTATTCGTTTTATTAAATAGGTTTATGTGATTTTCAATTATTAGGAGCCAGTTCTCAGAACAATCCTGCAACAGGGAATCCAGTTGCTATGCCTGCAACTAATCTGAATATCGGGATGGATTTGTGGAATGCATCGTCTGCCGGTCCTGGAATGATTAAAATGCGATCAAATCAATCTGGTATCACACCAGCTCCTGGGATAGGACGTGAATGGATTCAGGTAGATTTTGTTTTATGTCCTTCACAGTTGATCATGTTGCTTTTTATGCTCTTTACATAGTGCCAATATCTCATCAAATCTATTCCTCTAGCCGCCTGTGTGATTAAAAGCACAAAATGTAATTCCTTTTCTTCGTTGCAGACGGTCATTAGGGGTATTTAAAAATGGGGTTCAATAAGACTCATTGTTTCTGGTGTAACTTGACATTCAGAATTCATGTTTACTCAACAAAATATTGAATTGTGAGGAAATGAGAGCTGTGTTGATGAGTTGATAAAAAGGTAATACAAGTCAAACCTATTTATAGGCATCTTACATTTAACCAATGAGTGACACTACTACATACAATACTTATATCCATATATTTAATAAGGTCAAGTAACTATCTAACAAAAACGAGGGTTCCGGGAAACAATGATATTGAAAGGGCATAGAGAGATCTAAACCTCGAGAGCGATCTGGTCATCTGGAGAGCGTTCGAGCTTAAGTATGGGTTTTTACAGGTTTTCTGGTGTTTCGGTTGATCCTAAAATAACTGATGACTAGTTACTGACCAGAAGTGCAGAAGTTCTTTCAGCAATTATAATCTAGAAACATACACTAGTGTTCTGCCGGAGAACTTTTAAAGAAACAACCGGTTCATTCTTTTGTAATAAACTTGCCTGTTTGTAGGACCATATTTGCCCAAATATCTGCTCTTAAATTAAATTTTAAAAATTTAAACCTGAGTAAGGTTTGAAATTTGATCGCAAGAAACTGAACTTGGTTTCAAATTCCTTATCAATAACTTTTTTTGTTATGGTTCCATATTTTGGCAGCTCTATATCTTTGTGTCTTTATCTTGCTAGATTGAAATTTAGAGTTGTTTGCTGTATCTCAGTAACTTTGTGGGAATCTGAAGGCATGTTTACACATTTCAAAAAGTGATAGTTGCTTTTGTTGTTATTTTTATTTGTATCTCAATATGTGTGCTGTCAATAATGGGATTGTACCCTTGTGTTTATCATTGCTGTATTTCTTTTTTGATAAGTGCTTTATAACACTTCTTCATAGGATGAACGTGAACTTAAAAGGCAAAAGAGAAAGCAATCTAATCGAGAATCAGCTAGGAGGTCAAGATTACGCAAACAGGTATGAGTTATTTGTTACAGATATTGTTTCTCGTCCATCTCTTTAACAGACAGAATTTATGATCTTTGTGTATTAGTAACCATAATTATGCTCTTCTGGGTTCTTTGGGTCCAGCACTGGGCTTTAGGTCTTCTTTTTGGGTAATAAATTGATGTAATATAGGAACGATGCCAACCCTTCATCAGGGAAGGAAGGACTCACTAAGTTGGTGTCACTAACTAGTACTAGTCTAATATAAAAAGTCTTCGGAGCACGTTAAAAATTCGTGCAGAGTCGCTCCACTGACCGGAACACTTATAGGAGCTCCTGCGTCAATCATTTCCATTCCTCCTCTCGCTAGTCCTTCTGTAGCACTCATAGCTACAACCCTGCTGGAAACGGCTGCTAATACCCCGTATACTGAGGAGCAAAAGGAAGAATCTGCCCGATGAGGGGCTCAGTCTGATTAACTAGTTGGTAAGGCACAATAGCTTACCAAAGTCGGAACTATAACGGGATTCTCAAGGTGAGGAGAGGAGACAGTTTCATTGTCGTTAGATTGTGTGGCAATCTGAGCCAACGTCAATGGAAGTTCTGAAAATAATCTCATTTTTCCTAGATGGATATTAAACTGTGTTAGAATTCTTGGAACGGAACAAATAGAGAAAAGCAGGCCATCTTTTTCTGTTGAATAGAACAAATCAAAGTAGAGGCACCCAATATCCAATGTTTTCACAAGTCAAAAGGGCAATTCTTAAACAAAATTGATGGATCTGTAAAATTGTAGCATTATTATTTTTTGACTTGCCTTAACCTAGCGCATGAAGTGCTCCCCAGCTAATGCCAATGTAGCTGGAGAGTTGGTGTATACCATATGTAGCATTCCCTTTGCTTTTCTGCAAAGTGGTTATTCCGCTTTGAACTTGTGACTTAGAGGTCACCGGAGGAGCAGCTGTACCACTTCCGACAGATGCCCAAAATAATAACACCAACGAGATTACACATATAAGATTATTTTCAATTAATTTGAAATTACATAAGAGTCTCAATATATGTCTTTATGTAAAGTATGAGGCAACTGCTTTTTCTTCGCTTATCCAAGTTGGTTGGATGGTGGTCTAAAATTTTCTATTGAATTTGAGATTTTATTTTGTTACTTTTAGTACTCCCTTCTCCAACAAACAAATGGTGTTGGTTGTTCAACTCGTTTATTATAGATCCGAAATCGAATAGCGTTTTTTTACTTTTTAAACTAAAACTTACATATTTTAAAACTGTATAAAAAGTATGATTCTGGTAGTTAAAAATATTTAAATGTTTGAAAGTGCCCTAATCACAGGAAAATTTGTTCGAATCCCCAAATTTTAATGACTTAACAAATTAGGACTAAGAGAGTATTATTAAAATTCCCATCTGTACTTATCGCACACAAAAAACGCGCGCGCGCGCGCACACACACACACTCTAACTAAATACTCTACACCCAACTTCCAAACCAAAAAAATATTGTGACAAACTAAGCTGCTCGGACACGGGTTCGGGTGTCCGACACGGGTGCGGATCTAGAGGTCGGATCCTTCGAGATGTAAATTCTAAGATTCCGGGATACAGATCCTAGTACGGATACGGGTGCGGAGATCCGGCTAAAAATAATTCAAAAATATAAAAATATCTCTAAATTATGAGAAATTGTAAAATGAGAATTTCTTTTTTATTCTCAAGTTGTAGATAAGTAAATGATTGATTTCCTGGATAAGGTATGCTATTTTCTTCAAATTTACCCTAGTTTTGGTTCTCTGATTTCGGGAATCAAATTATATCTCGTATCGAATTTTTCCGTCCGTCGTGGTCAAAGTACCCAAAATTATTTGACCATATCCGGTACGGATTCCATACCCACACCCATGCTAGTGTCGTGTCGACATGGGTGCGGCACCTAAACTGGCGTGTCGGAGCAACTTAGGTGACAAATACCAAGAGCATCCAGAATCATTAGTTTTATTGGTGGGCTTAATTGTATAGTATATGTGATTGAAATGGAGTAACTAGCAGTAACTAGCCATCCTTCTGGCAGTTAATATTATCGCCTATTGCAATCAATTCTCCCAAGTGCAATAGTAAGGATGGAAAGTATACTTCAAAATTATTACTGAGAAAACAAGGTAACGACTTGTTTTCGTTTTAGTGGAAATTTAGGGGAAAAAACAGCTGATCGCTGTTCTTCTTTGTGGACTGTATTTTGTCCAACAGATTGTGATATAAACTCAGAAGCAAGGTTATTCATGGAACTGACCCAGGGGAAAGACTCACCTTACTGTGAGCATACAGACACTGAGCTTAAACTGTGTCTATGACCACTTTGACTATTTGATTGGTCCAACGCTGGGACTAGCTAGAATTTAAAGTTAAGTTTTATTAGTCATATTGTCTTATGCCTCTCATCCTCCACAGGCTGAGTGTGAAGAGCTACAACAGAGGGTAGAGACATTGAGCAATGAGAATCATGCACTCAAAGAGGAGATGCGAAAGCTCTCGGAGGAATGTGAGAAGCTTACCTCGGAGAATAATTCGATAAAGGTAAGCACTACGTCAATATCTTTTTCCTCACCCCTCTGTATTCTTGTATGCTTCTCTCATTTGCCCTCACTTTTAAGTAAATTCTCGAGTATCCTCTTCGTTCTGTCCTCCCTCCCTCTATCCATACTTTCTCTTTTTTATTCTGGGCTATTACAGGGAAATGCTGTTAGTTGTCCTTTTAATTCGACTAAGCAATACGAGAAAGATGGAAATACTTATTTTTACTGGGATCCAATGTTATAAACAGGAAGAGTTGACGAGGTTGTGTGGGCCAGAGGGGGTGTCCAAGCTAGAGAGTAATGCCAATGCCACGCATCTTCAGTCCAATGTTGAGGAAGCTAACAGTTAAGGACAAGCCATGACAGAGTAGGTGATTTTGGTTAAAATGCTCACAAATCTCTTACGGCGCTCAAGAAATTTATAGCTTGTATGTACATTAGAATGAGAAATTTCTGTTTTTCTACTAATTTATGCCCCTTTAACTGTTTTGAGTATAATTTGTAATATCAATTCATGAATTTGTAACCCGGGTTGAATTTGAATATATGACAACATTGTAGAAGTAACTGAATAACCGAAACATAATTTTTCAGGTACTCCTAGTCTATTCCATCTTGGTTAGTTGTTGTATCTTATCTTCCTGTTGTCTGTCCTCAGTTGTTTTCAAGTTTCCATGCTCGTGGAATGACTATTATTAGTTGCAGGTTACTTGCAGCTACAGCGGATGACATTCTCGGACTGAAAGTTCAGAGGTAGTTTTGTTGCACTTGCAATTAGGATACACTAGTTCATATCAGCCTAAATCTTGGCGGACAGAGTTACCTGTGCTTATACGAGATAGCAGATATCCAATGAAATAATGGAGATGCATGCAACTTGGCCTTACCACCATCTTTAATTTTCTCTTTAAAATGGCATTGCCTAGTCATTCCAACAGTGTTCTGAACACAAACTTTTCGCAGAGAAGGAAAAAAACGAGCTGAAAATGAATAAAGTACTCAAAAGTACGAAAAGAATCCGGAGGGAAAAGTGATTAAACTTTTGGGTAAATTATGCTAAACACCCCTATATTACTGAGGTATCCATCCAGTAATAGGTTCAAGGGTATTGGTGATCCGAAGATAATTTTAAGACTAAAACAATCAATTCTATCACAAGATGAGACTAGTAGCTTCCATAGGTAACACAAGTCATTTTCCTACAAGGAAAATTACTATACTCCGTCCGTTTCAAATTAAATGAGGTAGTTTGACTGGTCACAGAGTTTAATAAACTAGAGTAGACTATTGCCAAATCACCTTGAGTACCAATTTTACCCTTAAGGGCCAACATGTTAGCTTTTTAATAAAAATCATTATAAAGTAGATATTAAATCAAATGTGACCCACATGTCTCATCTTCTCTGCTACATTAACTAAGTCAAAAAACTTTTCCTTCATTTCTTATAGTCTACGAGCTACTCTAGACTACTGGCTAGCTATTCTCAGAAATTTCTTCAATTCTTGTGGCGCCAAAAAAAAATATCTTTCATTCACGTGGCGCCAAAAATTTTCTTTTTTAATTAGGTGATAAGCTTGCCTATTTATGTAGAGATATTTGAGATTATTCACTTATACTTTTGAGTGTTTCTCTTCATAATCCTGTTTTTTCTCCTGGTGTTTCTAATTTTCTCTTACATTCTGATTATATCCTTTAATCCTATTTTATCTAGCATATGAGATTAATTATACACAAATGAGTGACTCGCAATTAAACTCAACTAGTAGAAAAAGACGTCTAAAAATTGAGGAGCGTCATGCTATTGCCGAATGACTTTTGAAGGAAAGCAAAAATGGAGTTGTTAAACATGGGTCTTTAAAGCTAGCTGTGATTTTATTTAATACTTCAAGGAGTACTGTAGAAAGAATTTGGCAACAGACAAAATTAAGTGTCGCTAACGGTACTCCATTAAATGTGTCTCCGCATATTGTAGGCAGAGTTGGAAAAAACGAATTCATGTCGACATTAATATGGTAAAAGAAATTCCTCTTTGTCGCCGAACAAATATTCGATCTTTGGCATGTGCTATGGATATGTCTACGTCAACTATTTTTCGACGCATCAAAGAAGGAGCTATAAGGCCACATACCAATGCCATAAAGTCTCATTTGACGGAGGAAAATAAGAAAGCAAGACTTCAATTTTGTCTATCAATGATTAAGTCTAGTATGCTAAATTCAAATCCTATGTTTTCAGATATGTTTAATTATGTTCATATAGATGAAAAATGGTTCTTTTTGTCGAAAAAGTCTGAAAAGTTCTATCTTCTCCCTGAAGAACAAGAGCCAAACCCATATAGATCTTGTAAAAGTAAAAATTTCATAATAAAAGTTATGTTTATGGGTGTTGTTGTGCGCCCTAGGCTTGCTGAAGATGGAACTGAGTTATTTTCAGGAAAAATAGGAATATTTCCTTTTGTGTTCAAGGAACCCTCCAAAAGGAATAGCAAAAACAGAGTAGCTGAAACTTAAAAAACAAAGCCTATTTTATCAGTCACTAAAGATGTCACTAGGACTTGTTTAATTGATAAAGTTCTTCCGGCGATTCGATCAAAATGGCCACTTTCGCAGTCAAATGCTCCTATTTTTATCCAACAAGATAATGCGAGACCTCACCTTAGTGTTAATGACTTGTAATTTACCGAAGCTTGGCAAGATGGATTTGATATTAGGCTTTGCTTTCAACCTCCTAACAGTCCAAATTTAAATGTTTTGGACCTCGGATTCTTCAGAGCTATTCAATCTCTTCAACATCAAATGGCTCCTAAAACTATTGACGAGTTAGTAAATGCAGTCGAGAAATTGTTTAATGACATGAAAGTTGAACGGCTGAATCACGTGTTTCTGACTCTACAATCTTGCATGGTTGAAGTGATGAAAGATAAAGGTGGAAACAATTACAAAGTGCCACATATGAAAAAAGACATGCTAGAACGATATGAATCTGTTCCTACTCAAGTTTGTTGCGACATTGGTATTGTTAATGAAACTCTAGCTCTACTTTAAGCTAGAATTATAGATCAAGGTTATCTGCAACTTATTTTTGTAAAGTTCGTCACGACAATATTTGTGATCGATTATCTAGTGACTTTGGTCAAATAATGCCGCTTTATAACTTCAATCAATGTGTCTTTATTGATAGTTTGGGATTAAAAATAAAGCACGTAAGTAAGTTTCATATGACTCGCAATATTCCAATTTCGAAGAAAATAATTGTAACTGCAGCAGAAAATATGAAAGAACAAAAATGGAAGAAGCCACGTGGGAACAAGCATGGAAAAGATCTGACACTAATAGTTCACTTTTTTAACATTTGACTTTTAAACCTAACCTAATAAAGTTATATCACAAACTATTTACTCTTAAATTCAGTGGGTCCGTATCAGATTTTTGAAGGAGGGATGGTAAGGGTAATATTGGTATCTCAAAAGTAAAGGATTACCATTGTGTCATTTATTTTGGAACAGACTAAAAAGGAAAGTATCTCATCTAATATGAAACAGAAGGAGTATTAGTTTTTCAATTACTTTTACTCCAATTCTAAATAATCTTGTAAAGTTCAAATTAAACGTTATACTTTTGATTAGCAGACTTGTGTGTTTTTGGACAAAATTTTCACAAATCTAATGATTGTAATGAAAATACCAAAAGTAGTTTTCTCTTTAAATCAATTATTCAAATGGATTAACAATTGAAAATTCGTTACGAAAATTTACTAGTGGAGAGATAAAAAAAAAAACGTATAACTTAACAAAATTAAAAGTAGAATATGCTTTGCTCAATACTACAAGGAATAAAATTAGATTTTGCGAAGAAGAGAATAAAAGACAGTTTTGTTAAATTAACCTCCAAATACGGAGTCTGAAAAAACAGATACATAGGATGTAAAAGATTCGCTGCGCAAGGTAAAAATAGAAATATAGACTACCTATTGCATGATTTCTCTCAACTGCCTATTATTGGAATTGCATTTTATCCACTTTATAAGTAGTTTCGAGTTCTGTATTATGCTTTTTTTTCTGCTAGAAAGTTGTATGGTCCCTCTATAAACATCCACATTGTGTTTACTGCTAGGACATGTGTTTTCTACTGGCACATTAAGTCTTTAACAACTAAATCATGATTAACTAATAAACATTTTTACCTGTAAATCAATATAACTTTGTTTAAAATTTAAACACTGGGTATGAGTTTTTTTCTGTAGTAAGATCCTTTCTTTTTTAATATGTCGGAGCATGAAAGGGTATACTTAAAATTATAACATTTTGAGAATGTGATTTTTCAGGTTTTTGCAGAAACTAACTTTGGGTGGCTTTTGGCCAGACGTGATGAACTCAGTTTGCTTTTCCTATAATACCGTTTTCCCGCACTAACGGTATCAATTTACAGAAGAAGAATCACGTATGATGAAATATACTTAAACATGGAGCCTATTCGTTACTTTATTGACAAAAAATGAATCAATATGTTTTCTTTCATCTATTACATTCTGGAATTAAGGAGGCCACTCACCCAAATCCCAAATAGATCTGCCAATTCCATAGGGCAAATATGGTGAAAAAAGAGGAACAAAAACAAGCGTAGGGCATATTAGAGAGAACTACTGAATTTAATGCACATCTCATTTTAAAATAATTTCTAGGAAGAAAGGAGTTTAAACTTGAGGTTACATATGCCTGGGTATGAATCTGCCCAAATTCATATTACTCTTCAAGATTAAAAGAAATGAAGCAACATGATTTCTTCATCTATTGATAAGCTAATTTGAAAGCATTCCTCACAACAGGGAAAACTTCAAACTTAAACTATCACTGCTTGATCATTCGAACTATTACATTAAATGTCATCTATCGTTAAAGAATAAGAAAATAACATCAATACATTTTTTCTGGCAAAAGAATTCATACCAAGCCAACTATTATCCATGGGACAGCAAACAATTTCAACAAGCTTAAAAAACAAATGCCAAAAGAGGCATACATACATACATACATCTCTCTCAGTTATGGTCAAGAACAAAGCTCATCCCAGCTGATGACCTTTCACCACATTTGCCTGAGACAAAGAAATTACCAATCAGATGAGTAGGAACTCACTTACAATAACTGTAAAAAGATTAAAAATATTGTTCCAGAACTAATTATGGTACACAAAACCATAAATATGGAGTTTCAACAAAGTTGTACATTAGTTTTCCCAATGAATTAAACATCATAGACAGGAAAAGAAAAAGAGGATCTTAGTGTTGATCATAAGAAAGAGATACATCAAAATGTGAAATATAGATATTTCTCAACTCATTTGAGCTATCAGCAAAAGCAATAGCTTGCAACAGACTAACTGTAATGAACACAAGTGACTTTAATTCAGGCCAACATAAAATAGAGAAGTATCAGAACCAGATCATATAAAATGGTATCAGTATGACTTTCAAATACTTCTTTGTGGACTGACAATTCAAAGCAAATTAAGATTCAGCTCAATGACGGGTTACAGCAGCCCAGACCGAACAAAGCTAAAACTTACGTTGTTCTTCAAACCAGTTATCACTGGTTGTAACT